ACCACCAGTTTCCCACATGGATATGATTTATATCTTTATGTATAGTTTAGGTGTTTAGCGGCTCCCAATTCTAGATCGGTTTTGCTTTTTCTGGCTTTTCTCGAATTTTTTTTTTCGACGTAGTTCAGATTTTGTAATTTCTAGTTTGCTTTGTATAATTCTTCTTCTTGTTTTTAGTTCGTTTGCTCTTGTGTCGGATCCGATTCATCATATTCATAATTCTCTTTTTTCAATAGCGTAAATCATCATCTCCCTATTATTGGGTTATGTGTTTAGGCGATTTGTCTATAAGGAATTGAGGTTTTTAATTTTGGGAATTGTAGTTTTTTTTTTCTTAACAAATATCATGCTATTTTTTAGATAATACACTATTTTACATTATATGATGATGATTCACGTTATTTGTTTAAAGCACACACGAACAAACACATTCTTATTTTGCCGTTGCATGTTTTCTTACTAATTATGGCTATCAGATAACCTCAAAGAAACTTTCTTTTTGTGTAACATTTTCATTAAAACATTGAACAGTTTACAAGTAAAATAATATTGTACAACAAAGGCGGTTCTATCCTCACTTTCCTCCAAGAAAGAAAGCAAGAACCCTAAACATGTACCAATATACAAAAATCTAAAGACATTAACAACAACAAATCCCTATATAGAGAATTAGTTTCTTGGGATGCAAGACAAAACGTCTACAAAGGAACCCAAGTAGATGAGGCATACACAATCCTACCTTTCCAGCCCTGAAGCAACCAGTTACCATCTTGATCAACATCAAACTCTTTGCTTTTGTATCCACTTTCCACCATCAACTTCAGTTTCTGAACAAGCTCCTTCTCCAGCGGCATCTGTCTAAACCCGGCTCTCATCGCCCTCGCCTGCCACTGCTTATAACTCTCTGGCCTCTCCACTCTCTCTGTCCCCTCGCAAGCCACTACGTTCATTATCTCCCTTCCATAGAACTCTTTCTCAAACATAACCCTCATTGGATCTTCCCGTGTCAGATTCGTATCGCACATGTCAAACAGAGACGAGTAATGAAACAGAGCTTCTCTAAACCTCGTGACAAAGAAAGGCGCGTTGTAGGATCCGCTGAGGATTGCAGGGATGAACACGTCTGGTTTTATCTTCCTTATCAGCTTCAGAACCGCATCTCTCGGGCTGTGAACTGCTACCGTCTCATCTAGAAGGTTTCTAAACCGAAAGAGAGAGTTTACTGCTACAAACTCGCCTTCTTTTAGCTTCAAGTCTTCTGATTTGATTGTTTCCCATTTCTGCGCAATCGCGTGGTACTCAAACGGAACATTGAACCTCTGGCAATACCGAGCCAAGCGATGACCCGTCTCAATAACTCCCTCGGCTGGTCTAAACCCACGTTGAGGCAGCTCTATACCGGTTATCCGAAGCTTACACAATCCACCACTTCTCCAAGCAAGGCGATGAATCAGGGGAGGCCACTGGAAACCATAAGATATCCCAAAATCTATGATGTGGATAGTTCTGGCATTCGTAGCCAAGTGCATAATGCTGTGGTTAGCAAATATAATTGCAATTTTCTTGAACGGGCAGACCGATATATATGTCTGGTAAGCTTTCAACATATCAGAAGCAGATGTTTTCTTTGAAGATAAATCGGTATAAACCTGCGTACCTATCCCAGCCAAGCGTGCTTCAAGACTGTTTGCGAAATAATGAGCTAATCTCTCTGTCCCATCGCCATAAGATGAAGAATGTTGCCTAACCTGTCTTAACAGTTCGTCAGCAGTTCTACGGTCATTAACCGACACAGCTTGAGCACATGAAACCAAAAGGGTCCTCAAGTCAGGTGTCTCTTTCCAAGAATCGTTCCCACTAGCAACCGGTTTCTTTCCACGGGTTTCGCTCAGCTGTGTTGTCTCGCCTTTATGACTCTTAGTAAACGATGAAGCTTTCGCGGGATCCTTTGGAAAAGTCTCGTGAAGAATGCATACAGGTTTCTCCTTAGGGACGCCAAATAACAGAATCTTGTCAAACATTTCAGACAGCTCAGCTTCATCAACATAAACAGCTGATTGCTTCTTACTTCTTTCTTCAGGCAAATGTTCATCTCCGCGCCAATGGCTTTTCTTTCCGGTCAATCTGTAAGGAACAGAAGACTCAATCTCTTTGGATCGCAAACCCGGATTGTAATTTTCCACATCTATAACCAACTGAGAACTCTTAGGAAGGAATTTACTAGCTTCCTCCACTCCTCTCTTGAATTGAAACGCCAATTCGCTATCGTTAAACATATTATAAACCAAATCATCACTTAAACTTGACCCGAAAGCAGCGTTACTGCCGCCAACAGACTTTGGACTGGATCTAGTAGAAGTGGACTGGAAAACAAAGTTGTTCGGGATCGGTGTATGCATCCAAGAGGGCCTATTATTCTCCAAACAATCAAAACTCCATAGTGAATCAGAGGAAGTGGTTGTGGCACTTGAGGCATAACCTGAAGAAGAACCATTAGGACTATGAACCAATTGAACAGGATTAGGGCTAGTAGTAGTAGTAGTTAGACTCAGAGAATCCGGGTACTTCTCGCCGAGAGCTTCATAGAGAGATTTCTCAGCTGCTTGAAGAGACAAGGCATCATGAAACATACAAGGCTTCTCTTCCATGTCCTCTTCCATAAGCACTTGGCTTATGTATTTCAGAACCGAGTCAGAGAAATCAGCATCCGCAGAAGAAGCAGTAATGTTCTGTTGAGAATACGGCTCT